AGTAGGTTTTGCAGGACCGGGCCTGTCTCTAAACAATCGTTCAAGGAAGGTGAATCATCAGACTCTCGCGCGGACGCGTCATAAACTATGCGTACTTTCGTTGTCTCGGCTGACTCCTTCACCACAGGTTTGTGAGGAATATAGAATTTTCGTTGATCCGACTCTTGGGGTGCCTTCTCGATTATACCTTGTCGTTCCTGGTCCTTAATTATTTCCTGGTACTGTTTCATAAGATCTGGCTTCTTCTCCAGTCTCTGTACTAGTTTGGTCAGCCTCGCTCGACTTCCCCGCTGATTGCTTGGTAAATCCTCCATTCCAGGCTTCCAGAGAAGACCAGTTTCGTACCAGCCCTCTTTACTCTGTCTCAATCGCTCTTTAAAGTCCTCGTAAATTGATTGCTCTTCGTTTGGAGACTCTTGAAGACCAAGGACATCAAGATCACATAGCTTCTGGTAGTCGTGCATTGAGGTCTTCGTAAATAACATCTTAGTAAAATCATCATCTGTTCCTGGGGACATTATGGTCCACCCGAACTTCGTGAACTCCCCAACTGGCTCTCCGGTTTGACCTACACGTGGTTGGGAAGACGTTTTTATCTTCGCATAATCACTTGTTCTTAAGATTAAATGAATCGGAAGTTCTTCCTTCTCGTCTGTATCGTCCATTGTTACTCCTTTGAGGTGTTCAAACCGTTTGATTGTTTCGTTGTACTTAGGATTTGGCAAACTTAACAGATTACTTCGTTCTACTCAGGTAACTTCCGTCTTAAGGACAAACAAATCATTCACATCAGTGACTTCTAACTTGTGTACATCAATTGTTTTGTTAGATGTTTGCATCATCATCTCGATTTTCCTGAACTCTCGTCGCTCTGGTTTGCTGTTAAGACGTTGTAACAGGGCAGCAGATGCATAGGAGCTCCCAGCCCCTGTGTCCAACAGCGCTCTGCATTTAATGCCCCCAGCTTTCACCACCACCACCGGATAAATCAGTTTGCCTTCACCCTGTGCAACCAACATTTGTTGCACTGGTTGTGCCTCACATATCGATGTGTGATGTTTCTTCTTGCATCGTAGACATACCGTTTGACTCCGACAATCTGCCGCCTTGTGTCGAGCGCCCGTACAGTTGAAACACCGCTGTTTTTCACCCAGTATCTTCCTTCGATCTCCCACTGAAACCACCTTTTTGCAGTCAGTTGATCTGTGGCTAGGGTCATCACAATAAACACATGATCTTGACTTGTGCTCTTGCTGTCTTGTTTGGAAGTTCTTTGATCTGTTTGTCCATCTCTGATCCAGTTTATCCAGTTCAGGGCTCGAAACTTGCGGTATCCCGATATCCACAGGATATCAGATTTTAATTTTGGATACTGGGTATCATAAGCTCAGTATCCCAACTGGATACTAGGAAAACTTAGAAATTGCGATAGTACTGTAGATAATAATCTAGACGTTTGGCATGTTTCCGAACGTCAATGTCTACGGATTTTGGCAGAATATTTAAAAAAAAATTTCACAAACGGTGCTTTCTTTCGTATCGCCGCAGTGTGTTATTTTCAATTTTTTCGAATTTCAATACATATTTTTTATTATTGAAACTAAAGGCCTGGTTTTTGCTCAGCAACTGAAGGCCTGGTTGCAAGGTAAAATTTTGCCTTGCTTAGATACTGGAAATAGTATATCTAGTATTCAAATCTGGGTTACTATATTTCAAGGATGGATACTAGATTCTATCATGGTGGTATCCACTTGGATACTGACAAAAATTTCAAGTTTCGACCCCTGTCACCCCTGCAGTTCCTGATCTTGTTTAAGTGGATTTCGCTCCGTCCATTTCCTTAAGACTTCAATGAGTTCGGGAAACTTCCAGTTCTGCCAGTCATCATCCGTCCTAACCAAGTCACTCCTGATACCTTCGAGCTTGTCTAAAGTCATTCTAACATACCCCGACACCTCAGTCAATTTGCCCAGAGTTTCCAATGATTGGCAGGGTCCGAATTATCACTAAAAAACAGCTTCGCATTTTTTTGGAAAAATTTCACGTTTAAATACACATTTTGCCCCCCCCCCCGAAATTTTTTTGAGCATCACAAAAAGGAATGTGGCGCATGCAATGATTTTGCCAAGTCGTTTAGAACATGATTGCAATCATTTCACGCTGGATAAAGCCCTACATTCTGCTAAAAATCAAACGCTTCGGTATTGAAATTGAAAATTCTAAAATGTGCATGCTCTCGCATTTGTATAGACATTTAGGCAATCCGTGCCAAGTAATTATCAAAGCAATGTTACCATGTGCTGAATGCCAAAACGTTACGCTTTCGTTGTTTGGCCCTATAAAGGCTGCGTTTTTCGCACATATACGTACGGGAAAAGTTTAAATATTCCTAAATTTTATTTAAGTACTATCACTAACTACCTCAACAAATAGGCTTTAAATAATTCACAAAACCAAATGCTGGCCTTTTATTCATTTACACTATAATTATTTCATAAAAAACTTTTAGTTTTAAATGGATTTAAAATAATTTTTCCGTGCGTGTACGCACGCATATCAACATTATCAAGCGTTAACTAAAGAAGCTTCGCAACTTCTAGAAAAATTGCTTCGCAATTTTATGCAATACTCAAAATCGCTTCGCATTTTGCGATTTGCGAAGCGTTAATTCGGACCCTGATTGGACACTTGTTAACAATGTCTCATAGAATGCATGGATCTTGTGTGGTTGGCTGCCCGGAATAGTTGGTAATCCAATAATATTCTGAACGTACGAGTTGATAACTTCGCTATCTTTTCCATATTTGGACTTTAGTATGTTCTTTGCTCTTTCATAGCCCTCTGTAGTGAAGGGCAGACCATCTACACAAACACATACTTTAGGATCAAGCAGTTCCTTCAAGTATGAAAACTTAGTTACCTGGGCAATGTTGGTTCCATCGATACCAGTCTGGAACTGATTCCAGAACCGCAGCCAATCAGTTTGCACTCCCTTGAACTTTGTGATAACAAGCTTGGGAAGTTTTGTGTACAGCTTCGACGCTTTCTCTTCATTCTTCGAACTTTCCATTGACTTCTCAAAACTAAGCCTTTGCTGCAACTTCGCTTCCTCAAACTTCATTTCCTCCTCGTATTTCTGATGACGTATTTTAGAAGCTAAGTCCTCTTCCTCCCGTTTGACTCGCTAACTTTCAGTTTTCTGAATATCCCTAATAACCGAGTTCAACTCTAACACACTAGCCTCGTATTTACTAATGTCACTCTCTATCTTGCTGCTCTATTCTTTGATGTCTTCAATGTTCTCTCCTTTCTCTATCTTTGCTTCTTGTATCTTTGTTTCCAGGTCCTGGATCTCATTGATTTTATCTTGCAAGGTTTTTAACTTCCGTTCCATGGTGGGGACATGTCGTTTTTCTAGAGCTTCCCTTATACTCTCATCTGTAAATTCCAGCATTTGCAGTTTAGTATTTACCGATTTCAACAATGTTTCCATAGTTGCCATATTAGGACCCTTGATGGGTAAGATTATATACAATTTGTTTGATCAATCCAGTTATATATTGAGGTCTTCAATTTCTGTAAAAGTGTCCCAAGCACACTATTCGATAGATAATACTCTAGCTGATTCAATATTAAACCACGATCCTGAATAAACCTTTACATGATTCAGCCACTCATTAGAACCCAAATGATAAATTGTTTAATCACTCCAGCTACGTACTGAGATCCACCACGCTACAATATTTATACAGAACAACTCACCGTCCAAAATATTCCTTTTCGCAATTTAAATAATGTATTGATGTCCACTTCGAAAATCCCAGAAGATATGCTCGATAACCAATAACAATCCTTCGTTTAATGAATAAAAATTCCAGTTAAAGTAAATATTCGCTGAGAAATTTCAATAAATATATTCACAACGTCGACACTAGTCGCCCATGTTTACACGTTAAAATCAGCACAAAATCCCGTTTAAATTCGATATTTCTTGTATGTTATGTCCCATCGGGGGTGCCACTTTGTCGGGATTGCTTCCCCGACAATAAAGAAATCACTCACTCACTAACGTTTACAAAAGATTATATTTTTCGCTTCACAAATCACAGAAATATCTCGCCCTTTTTGAAATGTAAATTCTCTCACTGCCCCCCACAAAGCGTCCTCGCGTGGTAATCACGCGCGCGAACCAAATAAGGTTAAACAAAATGAACTATATGTTTTTCGTATTATAAAGTACTTAAAGGTCTCCGACAATATTATATTAATGAAGAACTTTGAATATAAAGGTTTTCTGAAATCTGTAATATGCCATGCATGCGCAGCAAGTCAAGAAAACTTTTAAACCATGCAATGAAATCTTAACGAATTGCTGGATTGTTTAGACGTGCATTACAACTCTTACTATATTTTTGTAGACTGAAATTTTTGAAAAGAAATAAATTGACATCATTAGTTGCTGTATATGCTTATTATTAAAGCAAAACATTTATTAATTACTGTACGTAATAAGCGTGACTCAATAATATTGTTGGCGGCGCCATTGCTATCAAAGCCATTTGTTGGCATTGTAAGAAAGATATTGAATCTGTTTTATCGGACCATTATTCTATTGTAATTATTAATTTTGCATCACAATGAATGTTTGTGATGAATGTTTATGACAATGTGAACTCCAGCTGTATTAAAAGGCTGACTACAGTGACTAGGCTAGCCACATGTACGCAATGCGTACCTATTTTTCAACCTATAATTTCAAAATGCGAAAATACTGTAAAATTAGTAATATTAATCTTTCACTTTATACAACCGCCTTGTGTCTGGCGATTGACCAAGTGCAGTTGTCAGTTGACCACAATTTACTCAGTACCCTTTCATGTTAAACTCTGTATACACTATATATTACAGCAATACAGACGAACAATTGGCTCCGTTGCTCTGAAACAGATCGATCAACACAGTATATAAACCTTTATGAGCTTTTATGGCATATACATTTCCAACTATATGGCTTATAACAATCGCTTTCAAAAGATGATCAGATGATCAAACTGATTATCAGTTTCCCATTTGTAATACAAAATGACTGAAAAATGGCAAACTTCGCAAGGCTATATTATCCGCATTTTACAACATTTTGCAACGAAACTTCGGAATATTACTAATTTTGTGATGCTCTTTCAAGTTGTGATGAAATTTTTGTCCAGGCTTGTCTAGATCAAAATTTCACTTAAAAGGGGAAAGGTCTGATATCGTTTTATTCAAGTTGAAAAATTTAGCTAGTTTGCTTCAATGTTTAATGAACATGTAAACTTGTTCATTAAAGTGTATATGCAATGAATACGTATAAAATGTACTGCAATGAATTTCTGCACAGGTAACCCAATAAGAACATCAGTTATTTGGATAACTAAATTATATAAGTTCTCGACGATTAAGAGATGCCTGCGGAGGAGGCTAACATTGAATTGCCATAACAAGATATATACTTATAGTTCTAGGGAGCTAGGAGGGGGGATTTAAGATTTTCTAACACAGATGAGGGGGAGGTTTCAGGAAAGTCAAAAGTTGCAGGGCCAGGGGGGAAAGTCATAATATAATATAATAATTATACAAGCACATGTTTAATTCACCAGCCCCTTCCTCTACTAAATAACATTATCTGGTGCTTGTTCCTAAATTTGTTAATAAATTGACTTTATGTTAATTCCCAGGATCATATAAGTTTGGATTTTAGGTTCGCTTTTTATATCTAAATATAAGGAACATTTTTATAATAAATTATAGATTTCTAATAAATTTGTGTTCTTGGATCGATCCAGAATTTAACTGAAACAGGTGCTTTCAAAGCAGTCACACACTAAAGGGATAAGGGTGCACACATTCTATCACCCACCTGATAAGGCCTTAGCTACAGCTTAGTTTATAATGCAAATATATGTAAACAGGACAAATTCAATTGGGATCAAAGTTACGTAACTACTGTGTGAGACGTAGACTTGGTTCAAGTTCGTCTTTCTCTCATATTTTCGCGCCTTTTTTGACCGCTCGCGTGCATCGCTATTTTCAACCCCTTGAGAGACGGACTTGAACCAAGTCTATGTGAGACGATATATAGGTTTTATTAAATACAAAACACCAAACAGCAGAAGTGACTTGATTGCGACGTCTCTTCAGTTTTATTCCTCATACACAAAAGCTAGCAAACGTACTGTATTCCTTTTCTTTCGTTTCAGCTCCAATTTAGCAATCTATACTTCGCTATCTGGGATGAAATTTTCAAAGATTTAACCTCTCTCATTCAGTCAAAGCAACTACAGCAAGCTGTAGAACACGTAAGTAATGGGTGCCTTTTTTCTGATGAAATATGTTCTCCTTGAATTAGAGCTTGAACATATCCATCAATAACAAAGATAGAAATATCAAAATATTTTTAGCCTCCGCCAGGACACAGAGGAAGTACATACAGATTACAGAGTGAGACCACTTCAGTTCTTCAGGTTAATTTAGCGTAAGGGATTTTTTCAGTCCGCCATGTTCTTAGCCAGTCCGGTAAAGAGAGGCCATCACCCCCCTGAAAACATATTGAAATTTAATGTTCCAGGGGGTGAATGCCTCTCTTTACCAGACTGGCTAAGAACATGGCCGCCAGCTATTTTTGTAAAAACTACCTTACGGTTTTCCAGCAGAATTGAGACCTCTGTATGTACCTACTCTGTGGCCAGGAGGTTATGCAACCTCGATCCCCCTGGGATCAACCTCGATCCCAGGTTATGTTGTCATTCGCATCTGTCTGTCTGTCTGTGTTTGTGGAAATTGCCCAAGGACAAATTGATAAAATTTTGCTAAATTTTGAATTGTATAATATATGTATAAACGCATAATATAATATAATGCATGCATATAACTTAATTTGCTGGTGGAGGTATCCATGCAGTGCATTATGAAAGCCAATTAAATTGCCGGTGGAGATATGCATGCAGTATGAAAGCCAATTAACCTTCTTCCAAAATCACTACTGTCATCATCACCATTGTCATATCGCAATCAATAAACATTCATACTTACCCTATAATTGCCACGTTATTGTAAAATAAATATCTCCTGCTCCAATGATTATCGTTACCATCATTACTACCAGGCAACGATACATTTTCACAGCCAATGTTACAACCATTGTTACAAGCAATTATAGTTGTAGTCGTGTAGAGAATGCTACTATAGTTAACACAATCTGAACTAAAGAAGAAATTTGTAGGCCGTACGGGAGAGAAAAGATTAAGGGGGTGGAAACAAATATACCCGACTTTTTCCCATGGTGCCCAACTTACCGAAAACTGAAAATTTCCGTTTAAACTTTCCAAAATTGTTGTCGACGGGGGTGGGGATAAAAAATTTCGGTGATCTGTTCTAATTTCTCATAACTTTTATATATTTTTGAATTTTAAACTATTATATTGCATATTTCTTTTTTTTACTGTCATTCTCCCCATCTTTTTGCCCCACGAGGGGGGCTACCCCCCCTCCCCCCCCGCCCGTTATGTCTATGAAGAAATTAACCAGAGTGACGTAATTGCTCTTTATCCGCCAATTTAGATGGCATTACTTGATCATAATAATTTGGGAGATGAAAGGGAGTGGGGAAGGGCGTTTACAGTTCTTTCCGCAATTACACATGGATATGTCTGGCAAAATGGAGGAAATAACCCAGCTAAGGTTATTCAAGAAAAATATATTAATTATTTTAATTCATACACAGACATTGTATACAAATAGTAACATAATTAACATAACCTATACAGACAGATTGTTATGAAACATTCTGCAGCTCTCTTTCAAGACAGTCCAAATAATTTTAACTTGAACTGTCTGTGCCAGTGTAGGTGGTGCCAAAAGTTTTAACAAGCTTAATTTCGTTGGTAGGGATGCAACTACCTGAAAAATAGAAGGAGACATTCGACTTTTCGAGCGAAGGCCATTCCTCTAGTAACTCCAGACGAAGGGCCTTCGCTCGAAACGTCGAATTTCTCCTTATATTTTCAGGTCGTTGCATTCTTACCAACGAAAGCTTGTAAATAATTTTAAGCATGCATGCATGGGTAAAGTTGACTAAGTTGTGAGCAACAAAACTAAGGTTTTGAACTCATATTTTGGTTAGGCTTCTGACCCATTCTTACAAGCCAAAGCTCCTTAATAATAAAGAAAATGAGTATTTTCACGTGGTTCACTTCTCCGTTTAATGATGTCAATTAAATTCGTAAAAAAAACATGTATACCAATTTGGCCATGCTTTATCTCCCAAGATGATTCCGAAGTGTCTAGCAGTACCACTGGTTGCAGCCGCTAAACATATCGGTGAGTTCTCTGTGCTCTCAAGAGCACTTAATTAAAGCTTCTACTTGCATATCTAAAATATTTCGTAGTTATTTCCTAAACAGTTTATGTTTTGGTATTACTGACTGGAAATTAGATGGTCATATATAATATAACAATTGTGCTACAATGCGACGCCATAGGTTTAAGTAGTTAATATGTATAGATGTGTAAAATAGTATCTCAGTTATGTGACATGTAATTTGTTGTTCTGTTAGATCATCTAGAGATAGATGTATTCAGTTAGTTTATATTTATATATTGTAGTTAGTTTTACGTGCACGACCACATCAGCTATGCTGTAAATTTACTATCGTGTTTAAATAAATGCTTTTATTATTATTATTATTATTATTATTGAGTATTGGTGCGCCCCCAGGAGCCTGCTGCTCCCAATTGTAAAACCACTGAAATTTTAATCAAAATTAAAGTAACTCAAATACAAATTTCGAAAAGCTCCTACCGTTCATAGAGTTTCCTGTGAAACGTTTGAAACGTTCTATATATCTAGAAGGACTTTCTTTGCATGGGCCCAAAACAAATATAAGAAAATTCGATTTCATGCATTTGGTTTCAAAATAAAAAAATGGCATAGTTTTGATCTTTGGTGAATTTGGATTAATCTCGAACGGTCTGTGACAGTGTATCTAGTGGCGATAATAAGAAAGCTGCGGATTGAAAGGGATACAACTACCTGAAAAATACAAAGAGAACTTCGACGTTTCGAACCTCTCTTTGTCGGAAGTTAAGTAACTTCCTGACGATGGGCCTTTGCTCGAAACGTCGAAGTTCTGCCCGTATTTTTCAGGTAGTTGTATCCCTATCAATCTTTCATTTGGATTAAACATGTTCTATCATTTCTATATGCAATCAATTTCTCGCTTGTGAATTAAATAGAGAATAATACATTTTTCTGTTTATTATATAAAGGACAGTCTTTGAAAAGCGATAATTTTTACAGAAAAGCGATAATTGAAAAGCGATAATTTTCACATGTGAGATTATCATGAATAATCTCACATGTGAGATTATCACTTTTATCAGTGCTCGAAATCTCTATAAAGTACTATATACTTTATATAATAAAAAGTGTTAGCTTTGTTAGTGCTAAACTACAGTTTGTTCATTGGCATCGTGATTATTGGTATAATCAAATATTATATAGTATTTGAAAAACACTATATGAAATAAGAAATTGTTCATTGTGGATCTAGGTGGATGCCCTGTTGTGTCATGGTGGCCAAGTATGCTTAACAATTGGAAAATTAAATACGAAACAAGGTAGGCCTACGAGAGTTGCGATATTCAGACAAGATAAAGCCTATAGTATATACGTATGTACCTGAAGAATATTTCAAATTGAAGAATATTTCAGATTTATTCAATTTTGTTTATTCTGTTTTTGTTTTTCTTCCATATCATACCAAAGACCTTTGGATTTAAGGTAATTATTACAGCCTTTACCATGGGTTTTCTCTGTAAAGATATTAAGTCCACATATACCCTTTCCGTTTTTAACCCGCTAAAGTTTCACCTTTACCGGTGTGGACACACTCAGAGAATTAAATATATATATTAAGTGTTTAAATATATATTTAACTCTCTGAGTGTGTCCACATCAGGCAAGGTGAAACGTTTGCTTGACCGCGGTAGGAATAGAACCAGCGACTTTTGGTTTGCTGCAGGTCACTACTCTGCTAACTGAGCTTCGAGGCTACGCCAGTTCGATTGGGTGATATTTTGGAACTCAGTCTAGTTTGATATCAGTACATGTTAATGATCACGAATGTAATGATTGTGGTATTGTTTACTCCATATATTATTCGATAAATTTCTTAAAGAAATGTGGAGATGCAGTCTTTATATACCGGGTCAAAAGACGAACGTTGGTTCTTTTTAATTCACTGGCAGATAGAAATACAATCTGTACCTGCAATTAAGGTACGTCCATTACTGTTTCACCGCTCACGGCCAGAGCAGCATTCAACAACCAACACTTCCCTGACTAATAACTAACTAACTAACTATAACTAACTAACTAACTAACTAACTAACTAACTAACTAACTAACTAACTAACTAACTAACTAACTAACTAACAATTTATTTAACAAACTAAATAAATAAATAATAAAATTAAAAACTCACCATACACTCCCAGTCACCTATACGTAACTGCATGGCTGAAAACAGCTTGCAGCAACCAACTAACCCACATAACCAATTGAAAAACTAATTAATACATTGCTTTTCTGAAACTTTCACCTCTGTTCATATTAAATAATTTTGTGTTTTTAATTTAAATCAAGGATCACACAAGAGGTTTTTGATAATACTTTTATTTTAGCTACGTTTCGGATAGTTTACTATCCGTCCTCAGGCTAACAATTTGTTAGCCTGAGGACGGATAGTAAACTATCCGAAACGTAGCTAAAATAAAAGTATTATCAAAAACCTCTTGTGTGATCCTTGATTTAAATTAAAAACACAAAATTATTTAATTAATACATGTATGTCTATTTCTAGAGCGTGGTTGCTGCACATAAGGTAAACGGTACTCTTCAGACTATACAAGCTCTACTGATTGAGAAAGTACAGTTAGTTTGCCATATTTTTCAATAAAAAAATCATTTGCCCGTTGATATTGAATCATCCTCTTTTTCAAATCACTATCTTAAAAAGTTTTTATAATTAAAATTAAAAATCTTCTGTCACCTGGAAAATATTTTCAGAATCTGCAATTATTATTTTACAGGCTGTCTTAGATGATAATCCAGAATTACTGCGTGCATGTTTGACTACAATACAAAAGACTTTTCAGATCATGAAAACATCATTGAAACGAATTTATGGTAAGAGGAGCAGTATATTATTTAATTTGGCGTGATAACGATTTTAAAAATAAATGTTTTACCCATATTATCCGCGAATTAATGCATATGTTTTATAGCTATTATCAATACTGTATTAATATACACCTTCATAAGTTCGTCATTACCACCATCATTTTCTTCATCATCTTCTTGATCGTCATCATCATGTTCATTATCACTAAAGTCAACTTCATCATCATGACCTCTTCCCCCATTTTCAACATCATCATCTTCAACACTTTCATCATCATCTTCTTCATCGTCACTTTCATCATCATCTCCATCATGATCTGTATCACCTGAAGTTGGCTTCGGCGGCGCACTATAGGAGTTTCGGTGGCACGGTTGTCAGAGCAAGCGACTTTTACCAATGAGATCGTGGGTTTGATTCTCTCGTCGTTCATTCGGGTGAAAAGAGTCATGCTCTGCCGAAAGTCGTGGCTTTTCCCCGGGTACTCCGGTTTACTCACACAGAAAGTTGATAGGGTGAGTAAGGATAAATACTGATAACATGCAGTACAGTTAAGAAAGTAATTTCACAATTGTTGTAAGGGATAAAATACTGTATGTAATTAGGTAAGCGTATAATACTCGATGTAAAGCGCATTTGATCATATCCGCTTGAATGTTAATTTGCGCTATAGAAATCTTAATCTTAAACCTTTAATCTTAAGTTGATTTCGAATTTTTGTGTCTTTCAGAGCATTGTGATCCTGCTTTCTTTTATACGAAGCTTCGCGTATTTTTATCTGGGTATGTTTGGCAGTAAACACCTACATCTGCATAGGATATAGCCATGCATGTAAGGTTGATTAAATAAGTTTAGTGATGAAGCCAAATCCATAAGACATGACCTACGATTCCTAGGCCAGTTCGGATATATGTTCGAGTATAAGTCCACCAGTAAAAGTATGGCAAGATATGGGAACTGAAATCTAGAGCAGTCTAGGAGTGTGATTTGAAAAATTGAAGATTGAAAAAGTTTTTGCACTACAGTATATGGCGCAGATTTGAAAAAAATTTTAGTTGAAATCTCAGTTAGTGATATTTCTTTATTTTAGTTTTAGATATTCACAATAAGTATTTGATCATTCGTATAAGTTTATATAATTTGCACTGATCCGGACATATGGGTCGTGAGGTTTGCCCAATGAATAATTGTGCATGGTGTTAGAGTATAGCGATCAATTCATTATTGCATTTCAAACGGATTTTTTAAATGTTTCTTTTTTAAGGATTTATATTTCGGCAACTCAATCAACAGTGATGGTTTTAATTTGCTTGATAATTTAAAACAATGTTACGGAAACTTACGGTTTTATTTTAAATGTTCTCAATTTTTTAAACTGTACAGGAATAGCTTGTTTGTTTACATTTTAAATAATATGTTTTTAATTTATAGTTGGAAGAACAGCAAGTCACTACCCGATGGAATTATTTATGAAGGAGTGAGCACGAAACCATTAAAGGTTTGCATTATCCTACACATTAACAGCGGGGAATTTGTGGGTATGAGCGCTGATATTCGCATTGGAGGAAATGACACTTCGTTGCGAGAGAGATTTCAAAGAAACCTTGAAGTTACTGAATCGTATAACGGTCCACGCAACGCTTTAAGGCATGTAATGTAGGTTATATGTATTAAAAGAATAATAGCCGTTGCCTTCAAAGATAGGAGGTTCTAATTAAGCTGGTTTTCGCCTACGAACATCACTATATTTAGAGAAACGTTGTGTCATTTTTCTGCGCGTGTATCTGCTCTTGTTTACTGATGTGTTGGTTATTACTCGCTGGGGCACTCTGTGCCCCAGACGAGTATAGGTTTCGGCACGCGTTTTTCTCCGATAATCGATCGATAGCCACAAAATAGAATATTAATGAGCTGCCTAATTTTTACCCCCATTATCCATAAGGCTCCTGCCAAGTTTTACCCAAATTATCCATAAATACCATCATTTTCCAAGAATACCATTTTTTCAAGAATTTTTCTAAATTTAAACGGGCTTAAACGAATGTAAACTTCACCTTGCGGATCGATAATTCTATGCGCTAATGTAATTTCTTCTTTTTTAATTAGTTTTCAGGAGCAAGTGGATCACAGAGTACTACATTCCATGTGTTCGATGCAGTTCTTGGTATAGTGCATTCTCGGAAAGGTATGACACTTAGAGATCCTGAGAAGAAAAGTATTCATTCGCGATAAACTCATTGCTGAGTACGCCCACAACTGATGCCTGGCGATTCTTAATAAAGATTAGACACAGGGTGTACTTTCCCAAAATTGGGGAACCGAAAAACTTAAGACAGAAAATCGGCAAAATAACGACCAAAGAACCATGAATTACCGTGCATTCACACAACACGCAAGACCTATACGGTTCCTTGCGAGTTGCGGGAGACCAGGGCCGTAGGAAGCTCTTTTCGATTGGGGCGGCTGAAAGCGAGGGCCAAAGGCCCGAGGAAATTTTTAAATTTAGAGTCTCTAAAATGCCATTTCCTGGACTTTGGGGGAAGATTTAACAGAATTCTGATAGTCAGAAAACAGCGTTTTAGTATGTCGAAATTTACAGGAAAGTATGGGCCAGACTGTAGTATTATAAATGCGCGGCGGGAATTTTCGTCGTAAATGGCAGTTGCGCGGAAATGAAGGCAGAACATTTGAGAAAATTTCGAAAATCTGGAGTCTCTAGATGGTCTGAAATGGCATTTTCAGAGTTTTCTTTCGCAAGACCCAACACGCAAAAGACAAAATAAATCATTAGTTCATCAAAAATGTGGAGATTTTGTGGGATTTTCTTGAAAATGCGCGACAGAAATTCAGCTAAAATTTCTACGCGAGGAACGATCTGGAGTATGAGTAATATCTTCATTCTTTGCAGTTTGTCACAGATTAAATGATAAAGTTTGCATGATTTTGAAAAAAGAATGATTATTAGCAAATTATTGGGGTTTGGAGTATGAGTAATATCTGGAGTATGAGTAATATCTTCATTCTTTGCAGTTTGTCACAGATTAAATGATAAAGTTTGCATGATTTTGAAAAAAGAATGATTATTAGCAAATTATTGGGGGGCTGCAGACCCCCCAGCCCCCCCGGTTGCTACGGCCCTGAGGTGAGTTATAAACTATTTTTGTATACCGCTTATATACTGTAGTCATTGTCAATAGCTGGAGGGAATATTTATATGTAATGAATAGAATAATGACGAATTTCGTCCTCTACCTTGTACTAAAATAGTAATAGAAAAATAACTTAAAATATCGAGCATTAAAAAATATGTCCGCCTAAGATTCTGTTGAAGAGTGCATTGAGATATTTCTGTAACCTCAGTCTCAGGCCAAATATGTATTCATGCCGCGCAGCGGGAAATCGCAATTCAAAGTCTATTAACTGCTGAGTGCTCTCATCTTTCCAAACATGTTGTTAATTTAAACTATTTTGTATACAAAGAAACTATGATTCAAGTTAACCCAAAATGAGCTACATTTAAAGCTGAAAATTACTTGTGTTTCGATCTGCATATGAAGTGTTATGCCTTATGGTGCCCTGGACAAATGTCCCATTTGACA